AGACTGGAGTAATTCCGAAAATTCAGCTTTGACATAGAATAAATCATATAAATGCAGCCTTGGTGAGTACAAGAGACTTCTTTCAAAAACTTCTCACTGATTCCATTATTGTAAATGCTAAGTAAGTCTAGTGTAAATGCACCAGTAATAGGTAGTGCCATATTAAGACCAAAGACTGAGGCAACTCGCTAGGTTAAGAAACAAACCTATAATGTTCATTGGGAATTATGATGACAAGGCAATAACTTGAGTAGATTCTCATGCTAACTAGGTCATCTGAGAGCGAGCGGTTCCCCACAGACACGATCAAGGGAAGCGGGGATGAATGCACTCTCGAAACACGGCTCTCCTGAAATAAACTCGCAGTAGGCAGGTGAACCGCGGCTGCGTGAACACATACAGTGTGTTCGCTCTTCTGTCATTATTGTGAGTTCATTCAAAGGGGAAATACTATTTTTTTAGATGAACTGTTCAAACAGCGAGTCATGTGTGCTAGTCATGTATGCTAGCATGTCCACAGTGTTAGTAACTGGTGGTAAAAGTGGCAGAGCTTCACTCAGTTTTCCGAAACAGATGAATGTGAACACGTCGACGTTTATAACGTGTCGTTTATTTTTGTTGTACGTTTCGCAGCAGTGCGAAGATGAAATCTCCAGTGAGTGACGCAAAAAAGTTTAATGCGCTAACATTTGAAAACGATGTTGCAGCTACACTAAACCGCTGCGGATAGAGTTAACAAAAGCAAACGTGAGATACAAACGCATTTTCTGAAGCAACCACGGTATTTTCTGAAGCAACGGGAGTTTCACGGTACTCGTAGCTGAGCGTTTTGCATCTCCAGTGTAACGCTGTACCAGAGGAGCTATCAGGCAAGTTTACCACGTCTGGAAACAGAAACACGTATGCAGCTGGTTATGCAACACAAACATCTAAACATATTAGTTTACAGATCATGCGCTGTGGTCAAAGTGTTTTTATAATACTAAAATAGTATTGTGGAAGGAGTTGATAATCTGCCACCGCAATCATAATTTTGGTGAAAATGAATACAAATTATTCTACTGCCGCTAATGTTCATTGGAAACATAGACAGTAAAAGAAATGGACACAGCGACCCAGTTGAAGCTCAACATGGGCACTCACTTCCTGATAGCCAAGCATTCTGCGCAGGCTCAAACTGAGCTTGACGACTGACTGGACTGACAGTTGTAAATCTTTGAGTAGCTGTGCCAAGACAAATTTTAATCGTGCACAGAGATGGCGAAGCGCGACCTAGAGCAACTTTTGGTAAGTATTCTGACTAATTATTTTGTCATTTTGCTTCTATCTATGCCATGACAGTAAAAGACAGTATTAGTTTAGACAGTAAAAGATTGCCTGCGAGGCCATGCGAGCTTCTCCTCCTGTCTATACGGTAACTTTTCTACTGTGCGACGGACAGTCGAGTGGTTATGACGCAATTTTTAGCCTATTTTTACAAGAACGGCTTCTGCGTGGCCATAACGTAACATACAAAGTAATGGAGCCATTTATACATTGTCGTGTTTCTTCAGAAATAAATAATGGATAAATGGAGTCTTTGGACGCCTCAGATGTAAAGTTATTTGCTGTCAAAGTGACGCCAAAATGAATGGGAGTCAATGGGATGCTAACAGCAGGTGATAGCCCGCTACAATGGCGGCCCCCGGAGGCAGATTCAACTTCCGGTTGATAGATTACCCCCTTGATTGGAAACTGTAGTACACTGTATCAGAGACTATTTATATAGAGACATACCACTTCCTCAATCCTTAATACAAATGTATAGGGAAAACCTGTAACACCAATGATGGCGGTTGTATGCACATGCCCCTCCCCTCCTGTTGGAAAGCCAATCGTCTGCTTTTAATAGTCAAGCCAGGAAACATTTAAAGGGATACTCCACTTTTTGGAAATAGGCTCATTTTATAACTCCCCCAGAGTTAAAATGTTGAGTTTTGTTGAGTCTGTTGAATTCTTCTAAATATCAGAAAATTAGCTGAATGGATTAAAAAACGGTAAAACTCAACTGTTTAACTCTGAGTATCTGTTTAACCCTGAGTTTAACTCAACTGAGCATCCCTTTAAGCCTATCGTCTGGTTCCACCGACGCATGCGCGCAGTTGAGGTTTGCGACAGTGGAAAATGTTACTGTTACTGTAAATGTTACTGTTTGAAAAAGCGGCAGATTTTATATGCAGTGCATGTGTTAGTTGTGTAAATATCAGACATCCCAAGTCTCCCAGAAGTTCCAAGAGTCTCTCGCAGATTGATAGCGGCTCGCTGATGACCGCAAATTAGTTCAAATCTCCCGGAATCTAGAGCGAGCGAGAGCGCGCACATACTGTGCAGCGAGTGCGCGACAGAGCGAGATAGTAAAAGTATAACCTGTGTGAAAAACGGCGTTTTAAACCTTATTTTGGGGCAAAGTCATCAAACTTTTTCAGCAATTTTGATCATATTTAACTGCTGTTTCTATAAAAGATGGCGGCCGAGTGGCATGACTTGCCTAAAAGGACTTTGATTGTATTTAAAATGAAGGTTTTTGAAGTTTTGCCAAAATGAGGGTAGAGGCAACTATTTCCAGTGAGACTAGAGTGCTTAATCGTACATATTCGTTTTAGTATCCATACATTTGACGTTAATCGTACATTTGCAATGTTTAATTTTTATTCGTTTTAGTATCCATACATTCGATACGTTAAAGCCGATGAATAATGGATCACTTCCTTCAGCCGAGACGCTTCAGCTCTGACCATGATGGCTTGAAACTGCTTGAAACATGATTGAAATCACTTTGAAGAGGAAAATACAGTTCAGTGCAACAAGTCTGTCATAAGGGAGACAACATTATGATGATAACATTATAATTGTGTGTTTGGGACATGGCTTTTAAATGGAGAAATTTTTGCTTTTGTAGTAAGGTAACATTTTGGATTTAGATTTACCGGCCAATATATCGGTTATCGGCTTTTCAATATAAAGAATTATCAGCCAAAATCAATCAATCAATGTCTGCCTAACTAAAGCTTTATTTAATTTCAGTTTTAGTCATTTTAGGTCAATTAAGGTTTATGTTTAAGGTTTTTCATCAGCTTTATTTCTATTAGACTGAAACAAAATATTATATTACCCATTACTGTTTTTTTAAATAGTTAATAAAACTCATCTACTTTCATGTTTTTTTTTCTTCTTCAGACTAAATTTAATAAATAAAAAACGGACCATAAAAAAATCAATTACTGCAGACCTTTTTTATTAGTATTTTTACTATTATTATTATTATTATGCACCTGCAGAATATCAAAACCCATTGAATGAATGGCTTTTCTTCCATTCATCATTCTGTATTTTTTCTTCCTTTCATTTCTCTTCATCTCTCTCTTGATGCACTACAGGGTCGGCTCTCAGCTATCCAGCCATGACACCGTTTCCATGACTACACCCCACCTCTCTCTACCACACACACACACTTTCTGACACTGATTCAAGCCGAAGGCTACACAGAAAAGCTTCTCGACTCTGCATGTGTGTGTGTGGCACAGCAAGTATTCTAGAAATACCATTTAACAATCACAAAACACACACTCCCTGTCAGCTCATGAATTATTCATTACCGCTTCAGCCTGTTCAGTTGTAACCTGCCTGACACACACACACACGTCGGCTTGTACGAGGCTGATCTAAAGCTCGAGTGAAACCCCTCTGTGCTCTCGAACGCAAGTGAGCGAGATGAAGAGATCTCTGAGCTTTAGCAGAACATCAAACCACGGCTTTAAAAGACTCAACATCTCAAAGTTCAAATAAACTGCAAAGGCATTACACACACTTATTCGGTTCTGGGACAAAAAAGGCTATAGAACAGGGAAAAAAAATCGCTTGTGTATAAAGGAATTATAAAAAGGTTGATGACAAATAAGAGTGCAAGATAAATAAAACACAAATCAAAATTCTTCATTGAATCTTTCCATGTACGGTTCATGACAACTTGAATACATGCAAGAAAACACATATTAACCATTTAAAATAGAAATAGATCAATAAATAAACCTACATATCAAGGTAAAAAGTACAAGTATTTAATACCATTTTTGTGGTCTCGCATGATATGCCACTACCTGAACTAACTTTATCTCCTATTACAAAGTATCAAATTATCTGATATTTTGCGTGCACTCTCAATATTTGAATATCCAATATTCTAATATTTATCAGGAATTCATTAATATCTGTATTTATTTAATCCAAATCCACATTAATATTTGTATAAACTAAATTATTTTAGTTGAACCAGAAGATATTTTACAACCTGAGCTTTTGTTGTCTTCTCTTAAAAAAAATAAAAAAATAATCATCTAATATTTTAAGACACTAATAGTCTTTGACACACAGTTATGAGGGTTCGGAGCGGTTCTCTCTATGATATCCTTTCCTGTTTTGCATTTCCCCCCTAGAAATGTCTGCAAATTACCAAATAAAAAATATAAATTAAATACAGTTTAATATCTAATATATTTTTATGAATATAGTAATAATTTACTTAATTATTAAATGCAATTAGAGTATTTTTCTCACTCTAAAGTACATTTTCAAGGTATTAAGTAAACTAAAATATACTTCAATGCCATTTCTATTGAAAACTGTACGCTGTGTATTTAAATATGCATCTGTGATTTTTTTTCTAAATATATTTGGAACCTGAAATACTACTAATAATATTTTTAATAATAATATTTTTTATTTTTCCCTTTGTCACACATTATTAGTCTAACGGTGTGGGAAACCTGTCTGGAATCTGGAATACGTCTTTATACATGTATACATATGTGGCTTCACACAAACACGGCATATGTGTGTTTATATAACCCACATGGTGACAAACATGAGAAAGAGTGAAGCGACACTGTCCCAACAGAAACCAGACAAACCCAGGCGTGGCGTATTGAGGTGAAGCGTGCAGGTCAGAGGTCATGGGTACACACCTTGGCATTAATATAGGGGTCAAATGGGCCACAGCGTTTGAACTCTGTGTGGTCTAGAGAGCTCTGGGAGAGGGGAGAGAACAGGAAGGAGACGTGTTCACATACATACACACACACACACACTGAACACAAGTGTTAATCAAATGCATGAACACATGATGAAACAGGCAAAAGAAACTACAGGCTGGCTTAGAGTCCGTCGAATGATAAACGTTAAAGAAAAAAAAAACAATTTTTTTAAACCAAGGCATAAAATTTCAAATTTGTGAGGAAACCTAACTATAATTAGACAAATCAGAAACATTTGACAGTGAAATTCACAAGAATATGCCGAATTTGGCCAATCAAACAATGGAGAATAAACCAGCCTTATAAAATGGCAAAAAAATGAAATGAGACAGTTTTTTTTTTTTTTTTTTATAATCATTTTTTAGTTAGTCCAAACTATATTTAATTCCTGATGAATCAACAATAATAAATTATTATTTTTGGCTGGCCTGTTTCATTTCATTTTGAGGCATGTCATGCTATAACAAATCAATGAGAAAACAGCACAATAACAGAGTTGTTAAATGAAAACTGTGATTATTATGTTACTGAAAAACATGGAGTGCATCACTGCGGAATAATAAATGCATGAAAAGTCTCTCCAAATTATGCAAAATGAGAGGATTTGAAGACAGGCCGTTTCTGCTTTCCTCTGGGGACATTTCATTCAAACAATAAAAAACCAACCCCGAGTACAGGTGCACATGAATATTCAGGTTCATTTGTTAAAAGGTTGTCACAGTGTTGGAAATGAATGGGCAACAGCTGTAGATATATTATATAAAGCAAGCGAGAGCAGAGAAACCTTATAATGTCATTGCTGGGTCAACAAACGTCAAACAATTTGAGCAATTCAGCTCCAAAACAGCATTAATATGTGATTTTATATGTTTTGACATACATTGTTGTCACATGACCTGTACGTTTAATTCAGCATGAGAAAAAAAAGCATTTCATCCCAAATTTGTGGTAAAAATCATCACACTGGAAATGTCAGTGTTTATATTCCGATGGTTATTAATTCTGCGCCTGGATTTGGTTAATCTGCAGTTTAAGTGTCCTAAACTTAACAGGGACTCGATTGATTCAAACAGACATACAGTGTACAGTCATACCGCCTATGTCATGTTCTACTTAAAAAAAAAAAAACATTTGAAATTCACCCAAGTGTTACGACTAAAAATAGCAGTTGTGAAAACAGCGTGTATTAAGGGTGAGAAGCCACTGAACTCATGTTTAGCTTTATCTTTAAACACACACGCACACACACATACTCACTCAAAGTGTAAATGAGAGCAGTGTGAAGCTCTAAGAGGAAGCAAAAGTATTCCTGATAAGCTGCAGCTTTTCCTGAGGCAAAGAAACCTAACCTCGAATCAAACCTCAAAAATACTAATTTACACACCCTCCCTCACAAGTCAACAACCTCCCAATACACAACTACTGATCTCAGACAGTAGCCATGTTTCCATCGACACGTTTTTATCCGAATTAAGTGATATCGAATGAAAAAAGCCTTATGGAAACAGTAAAATTCGATGAAATTTCATGAAAATCGACTCAAATGAAATACGTTCGGTCTCATCGGATTTTATCTTGATCGATATACGGCTAATGCGATAAAAGCTGATGGAAACGATATTTGTATAGCGAGGCGGTTTTTATAGCGAATACAACCCCTTCAACAACCGCCTCGCATACATTATCCCATTCATATGTCGCTATAAGCTGGCACATAAGCATTATTAGGCTTCAACTTGTGAAATATTGATCATTTGTTGGTAGATGGCGCGATCCGTTTTGTCTTGTTGTTCGATTCAGTGCGAAAATAAATGGAAACACCTTTAAAATGTCTCAAATCAATTCGATATACCAATTTGATCGCAAAACAGCATGTGACGTCATTACGTACAGGTTTTTATTCGCTTTAAAGCCGTTGGATGGAAACACACTTTCACCAGCTTTATCCGCATGAGTTTTTTAACCGAACTTTAGATAATTCGATTGACAAGTGGATGGAAACATGGCTAGTGTGTCATTAGACAGGGCAATATTTACAGAGCAACTTAAAGACTACGGGCAGGATTTATTCTGACTCGTCTCTCGGTTTGGAAACCTGCCGTGGCAGAGAGGAAGCATTGCAGATTAAACATTTAAAATATGCAATATGACAATTTTGAAGTACAACCATAACCTACTGGTATCTCCAACTGGTATTAACATGCATTACTTCCGGTCAGTGCTAGATATGGGTGGAAGCAGGGTCTAAAATAGGGTTTTGTGATTCGTCAACCTTAGTTGCAAAAAGGACTATTTTGAACTACTGTGATCGGACACATTCTGATATCACAAACTGTTAAGGATGGATAGTATAATTGGGATGCAGGGACTGTTTATATGGAGCAAGTTCAACATTATAATGCATAAGTAGGCGTTATTTAACCTACAAAGTAACCCAACTTAATAAAGACATTTTAAACAACTTTCCAGCTCTTTCCAGTTCTTAGCAAATGTACAATCTTCACACTAATGTTTTTAAAGTGCCCCGATTATGCTTTTTCAAATATTACCTTTCATGCAGTGTGTAATGTAGCTGTTCATGAATGTAAAAGGTCTGAAAAGTTGTAAAAAGTAATGTGTGCGACAAATAATGTTATTGAAAAAAAAAAAAAAAAAAAAACGATTCTGAACTGCCAAAACGAGTCGACAATAATTGCAATTACAAATTTGCATAATGGCAGTTTATGGTCTCCATTGTCTTTGATGTGTATGTGCGTGCGATCACATGTGATGACATTACCCAGCAACTCTTTATCGCTATACACATTAACATAATATTCAGTCACTGCATGAAGTGCATGTGGATAAAAGATCATCCATAATATCGTGTCAGAAAAGAAGAGGAGTAACACACGCAAACATCTTATTACTGAGATGAACCGAATGATCCGGTTCAGTTCCCTAAAAAAAGCTGGAACTCCCGTCATGAGGAAACAGCCTATCTATCAGTAACGTGGGTTTAATGTGCGCTACATAAAAATGTATTTGGCATTAAGCGTTTCCATCTCCCATTATTCACATTAACTCTTTTTTGCACATGTCAAAAACCACCTCAAGTGAGAATCATTTTTTTTTTGTGAACATAAAAACAGGGTGAAGGAAACACAGCTATTGTGTATCAAGTGCTGAGGGAGATCTGGCACTGAAATTTGGATATGGTAGTGATTCCCAACATATGCTGGAAGTGGTAGACCAATCACAACAGACTGAGTCATCTGACCAATCAGAGCAGAGTAGACCAATCACAACAGACTGGGTCATCTGACCAATCAGAGCAGAGTAGACCAATCACAACAGACTGGAGCATCTGACCAATTAGAGAAGAGTAGACCAATTACAACAGACTGGGTCATCTGACCAATCAGAGCAGAGTAGACCAATCACAACAGACTGGGTCATCTGACCAATTAGAGCAGAGTAGACTAATCAAAATAGACTTGGTCATCTGACCAACTAGAGCAGAGTATACCAATCACAACAGACTGGAGCATCTGACCAATTACAGCAGAGTAGACCAATCACAACAGACTGGAGCATCTGACCAATCAGAACAGAGTAGACCGATCACAACAGACTGGGTCATCTGACCAATTAGAGTCAGCTCTTGGTAAGTAGGGGTTTAGAGAGACTGTTTAGAGACATTCAACTGTGACACTGTGAGGAAAGAGGCGATGCTGAAAAGTATATTATGAGAAAGGTAAAGTGTTTTTGGACCTTGGCTGCATGTAAACCTATTGTAGGAGACTGCAAAACTAAATTAGTAACCTTTAAAATAGCATAATAGAGGCACTTTAAACTCTCCGGAAGGCCTGGCCCAATAGATCCAGTTTACCCGTAAACATTAAAAGTGTTATATACAAGCTTTCCATTCTGTTTTTACTGAGAGACGAGTCAAAACTGCTTTCTGTGGTAATCAATAGCAAGACACTGCCCTGCTCATAGACTTCATGTCGTAAATAACCCAGAACATGTCTTTGAATGTGCCGATCGGTGTCGTGTGGTCAGACCTGTTCATTGAGTTTGGGGTGAGACGGACCCTGATGGACGAGGAGCTTGACGATCCGCTGGTCCCCCTTCCAGGCCGCAAGGTGCAGAGGGTAACAGCCCTTATTGTCAGCGATGTTCGTCAGAGCCTCGTTGCGCAGAAGTGCTTCAACCACCTCACTGACCGAGACAGACATGCACAATTATGTGATAAATACAACTAAAATAATCTTTGGGGTCAAAGGTCATCAGGTCCCAGGACTCACCTGTGTCCATTTAAAGCAGCGTGGTGTAGAGGTGTGTATCCAGTGCTGTCCACACAGTTCACATTCGGCCCCCTCCAGATACTGTAAAGCAAAGAGTGGACAGACAGTGAGTATTATAATGATGATAATAATATAAAGGGTAATATTATACTGCCTATACATACAACTAAGCAAATCATATGATTTCTGAAAGGTCATGTGACACTGAAGACCAGGGTGATGATGCTGAAAATTCACCACAGGAATACAATTTAAAGTGTACTTAAATGAAAAACAGCATTATTACTGTTATAACGTATGCTTGGTTAAAAACAAAATGCAGCCCAGGTGAGCACATTACACAAATATGTGAATTATTTCTAAATGTTGAACTGTAGTGCAAGTGCTGGGTGACCATGGGGTTCATGAAATAATGCTAAAATGACCCGTCAACACCAAGGTCCCCAGTTTTTTCTGATTTATACATCTCCATGGATTTCCCATGATTAGTTTCCAATAATTTGTGAATACAGAATGCAATAGAGACATTCACAAATACTCCAGTCCTGGAAATCACAATGTTAAATCCCATTATCGTAGGCAATCTTGTTGGTCTGTTTGAGCCAGAAAGGCCGTCAGTCTTGGACTTTGAGTGTGCTTGTCTAATGTATGATTCATCAGGCTAATGCCATGGGAATGAACATCATAGAACATCTCTGTGTCATCCTTCCTGCAATTCCTCAAGCTATCCGCTCTACAACCTGCTGGTCAACACATTAGAAAATTCCCTTTGGTTTTTTTACGCCTCTTGAATCAAACCGTGAGTCACACCTGAATCTAGTGCGATGACATCAGCGGGTGTGTGAGGTCACTGACAGAGAGCAGGCAAACAGGTTCTGCTGATAGTGGAGACTGGGACAACGTGCACGAGTTGAGAAAACACAGGAGACATGTTGGATGTGGTTGTGGGGTACAGATTGCATTCGGGTCCGTTTTGACCCGGAAGAGATATAAAAATATTGGTAACACTTTTGTGAAAAAAATATTTGTTAACTACGTTAGTTGTTCATGTTGTTTAATCTGTAGTTGTTTAATCTTCATTAAGCGCAACGGAGCAACTGCGTCTAAAGTGCTGGAAAAGGGAGAGTTAAAAGTTTCTGTCATGATATCGAGTTCTTCTAAGGTAGCCAGGATGCTGATAAAGCAATCTTTAGTGGCAGAAGTTATAGGTTTAAAATAATAAACTTCACTTAGCCAAAGCAGCAAAGCTGACTCCATGTTATAAATATTATTGAAGTGAAGTTTATATTATTATTAATATTAATTAAGTGAAGTTTACATGAGACTAGATAGTGATCTGAAATGTCATCGCTCTGCCGCAGAATTTCAACGGCATCAACATTTATACCATGTGATAATATTAGATCTAGAGTATGATTACGGCAATGAGTGGGTCCTAACACGTGTTGTCTAACTCCAATTGAGTTTATTATGTCTTTAAATGCCAATCCCAATGCATCTTTTTCATTTTCTACATATATATTATTTATTATATATATATATATGTATATTAAAGTCATCAACTATTAGTACTTCATCTGCAGCCAGGACTAATTCTGATAGAAAGAAATTCTTTGATAAAATCTTTCTGGTATTGTTGACTGATTCTTACTCACCACGATTGTTGACTGGTATTACTCGCCGGGCTTTTTCTGAACTCAAAGCCATGGGCGCGCGAAAGAAAATGAATAAATAAATGAGCACACGGATGGCGCGTTAACAGGCTAGCGAGTTACCAGTGTGTTGTACAAACAATAACGAAAGCTGTGTAAGGTTAATCTGAAATGTTGGGTAAGATGCATTTAGTAAAAACAACTAAAAAATGATGGTTAAAAACAGAAAGAAATGAAGCTAATTTGAGGTTTAGACAGAGTGTACAGCCTTGGAGCAAACAAACACACAGCACAGCAGGCAGCGAGACTGAGACCAATCAGAGCAGAGTAGAACAATCACAACAGACTGGAGCATCTGACCAATCAGAGCAAAGTAGACCGATCACAACAGACTGAGTCATCTGACCAATCAGAGCAGAGTAAACCAATTACAACAGACTGGATCATCTGACCAATCAGAGCAGAGTAGACCAATCACAACAGACTGGAGCATCTGACCAATCAGAGCAGAGTAGACCGATCACAACAGACTGGGTCATCTGACCAATCAGAGCAGAGTAGACCGATCACACCAGACTGGAGCATCTGACCAATCAGAGCAAAGTAGACCGATCACAACAGACTGAGTCATCTGACCAATCAGAGCAGAGTAAACCAATTAAAACAGACTGGGCCATATGACCAATCAGAGCAGAGTAGACCAATCACAACAGACTGGGTCATCTGACCAATCAGAGCAGAGTAGACCGATCACAACAGACTGGAGCATCTGACCAATCAGAGCAGAGTAGACCGATCACACCAGACTGGAGCATCTGACCAATCAGAGCAAAGTAAACCAATTACAACAGACTGAGTCATCTGACCAATCAGAGCAGAGTAAACTAACTACAACAGACTGGGCCATATGACCAATCAGAGCAGAGTAGACCGATCACACCAGACTGGAGCATCAGACCAATCAGAGCAAAGTAGACCGATCACACCAGACTGGAGCATCAGACCAATCAGAGCAGAGTAGACCAATCACAACAGACTGGGCCATCTGACCAATCAGAGCAGAGTAGACCGATCACACCAGACTGGAGCATCTGACCAATCAGGGCAGGGTAAAATTTCTAATTTGTTAAGTTTCACCTGTATCAAAGTTAGTTCATGTTGGTTAATACATTTACTAATTATAACAAATGAGGCCTTATTGTTGTGTGAAAAATGAGACCTCAACACCAAAATATTTAATAATAAAATCTATCTTAGGATATCCAGTTACTAATGGTAATTCTGAGATTATATGTTCTTATACATTTAATATAATGATATATCAAATAAAACATCTCATAAATATATGTACATCACAGTGTTTTTGTTGTTGTTTAGTTAACTAGTGCAAAGTGCCCGTGCAAAATCAGTTTTTGTGTGTGTTTTTTTAGTAATTGTTGGTTTGGTGTGTTTGAGTGCTCATTGTTAGAATTACACAGCAAAAGTTCAGTGAAATTTGTATTTGTGTGTAGCTAATCCAAACAACATCAAAATCGGCACTGTACCCGTAGCAAGACACCCGTCAAGTCTGAAATCCATCAGACTAACACACACACAGACGTTCCTGCAATTTATAGATAGATAGTGCAAAATGCCCGTCCAATATAATGCTCGTTTGTTTTTAGCAATTGTTGGTTTGGTGTGTTTGAGTGCTCAAATGAATAAGCGCGACGATTCATGGAGGAAATCTGCTTTCTTCATCCCTCTGTCTCTGGTCCTGCGCTGTGCTCACTCAGTTTGCAGCGTGAGACAGGGAGTGGCCAGCGGCTAGTGACAAAAGCCAATGTGTGCTTCTTTTAGCGATATCTTTTGCATTTCTAATCCAAAGAACTTCAAACCCGGCACTGCACTTACTCGTGCCCGTAGCAAGACACTTGTGAAGTTTGAGATCCATCGGACTAACGGTTCGAGAGATATGTGATTAACAGACAGACACGCACACAGACAGACAGACGTTCCTGTAATTTATAGATAGATATTTTGTCAATAAAAAACTGTTAAATGTAGTAATAACATAACAACAACATGCTGACAATTAAAACAGTAATAGTATTATTACTTATATAACAATACACTGTCAGTGAACACTCAGGACAGATTTTAAGATTTTGGGACACCGTTCCAGCTCTTGAATCAGTGGTTCCTCACTACCAGAAATGGTTGAGATAACCTGAAAAGGCTGGACACTTGGAAAAGACCATTAAACTGCCTCAGATTGCTATTTATATAAATTAATTGGCCTCAATCACATCCACACAAATTTAATTTTGGCATAAACTCTCCCAGTGTGCTTGTAAATTGACTAAACTACAAAACACACAACTCTTTGTCTGTTCTTCTGCACACTGGACCTCACTGAAAACACCCTTAGGCTGTGTACTCGGCATATAAAGACATACTTGACTGAAGAGAATAGTTCTCTTGCTGTAGTTGTAAACATATTGTGTACTTGCAGCATGTGTAGATAAAGGAGGTGTGACGAGAAACAGATTCAGAGAGGAGAGTGTGCATCACGTGTTGTACAGCATGCACTCGCTTGCCGTCAAGACAAAGAAGCACAAATGAAGACACAAAGCCCACAGACAAAAGAGGAAGAGGAAAGGAGAAGCCGGTGGCAGAAGGGCTCTCAAACTGTGCTGCTCTTTTCTCTCACTCTAACCTGACGTTCCCATCACTCCATTCTGGCAGCCAGGAAACGTCATAGAGGGAAAACTGAAGCAGCGGAGAGAAAAGGTGTTACTGCTTCGCAGAATATACAATGAACCAACATTATTTGACCTCAATACAGTGATATCTCTTTAGTGAAATTACTCATTTAGATTGATAAATATACATTTAATCATTTATAAATTATAAAAAAATTTGGTAACGCTTTGACCTATTTTCATTACTTTGCAGCGGTTTGTAAATGTAAAAGGTCTGCAAAGTTATAAAGATTGAAGTGATTTTTTTTTTACTTTTAAAAATAGTGTTACAATATTGTGATACTCCCTAAAAAATAACTAATTGCATTACTTAGTTACTTTTTATGGAAATGAATAAGTCACAATACTTTTGCGTTTCTTTATTCCACCAGGCCTGGGCTTGCTTGTTTTTGATTACGGTAACAAAACAAAAAATGTAAAATGTAAAAGCCATTTTACACAAAAAGAGAAATAATAAGCCTCAAACTGATGCAAATGACAATTCACACCTGTACAGTAGAGGGTGCAGATCAATTAAACCTTTCAAACAAATGAAGGAAAAGAAAATCACTCAAAAACTTTGAGTTTTAAACAAATGTAAATGTTTAAATAGTCATTTTGCTCAGTGTGGTAGAACTGGGTCAAAGGTCAGCAGCAAAGACATTAAAAAGAGCAAAGAAGCAGCAAAGAAGCTTAATAAAGTGAG